CTGCACAAGGATGCCCTGCTCATATCCCCCTTCCCAGCTTAGGTTGCCCCTACACTAGTGTAGGGTCCCCCTGTCCCCAGGGCTGGCAGCACCCCACACACACCAGGGGGTGCACTGATGAGGACGTTCACCTGGTGGCCTCTTGCCAGGGCCACCATTACGATGAGAACAAGACTCTCAAAGCTTTCACCACCCACCACAAGTTTAAAACTAAAATCCAGGTCAGAATTTTCTCCTCTTGCAGCTCCACCGAGTCAAACTTTCAGGGGCCAGAAGGTCCCCACGCTGCCACAATGGGGACCCTCCAAGCTGTGCCACCCTCCCAGACGTGTCCCTGGTGCTTCTGCAGGTTCAGATCCTCAAGCTGCCAGTCACCCTTTTCCTGGAAAAAAAGTTTCCTACAGCACCTTCTCAGCTGCAAGGTATGGCCCCCAGGCTTTGTGGCCTCCCTACCTGGTGCAGAGCCCCTTGGGGCAGTGGGAAGCGGCACTGGGGGTGCCTGATTGTTGCCATGCCCCCAGGGCAAAAAAACATGCATGAAATCTGCATGAGAGAAGCCAAGAACACCCTCTCTGATGACCCCTTCATCTCCTGCTCCCTCCTCAGCTCTGCCAGATGGGTGCCTCCTCTTCCTCATCCTGCTGTAGTACATCTGTGCTCCCTCCCCATGCCCAAAACGTTGACTCCAAGCTGAGCATCACACCCTGCAGGCTACCCTGCCCAGGGCACAGCTCTGCCGGGGTCAGGGCTTAGGGGATTTGCCACCTCACTGCGAGCCAGGGCTGCTCCCAGCACCGTCTCTCCCCAGGTCCATCCTGAATTCCCAAAGCCCCTGCACATCTTTCAGCCAGAGAAGATACTCTACAAGATGCTGATGGAGGTGCTGCATGAGGGTCTCCCGTGGCATTTACAACTGCTGCCCCTACAAGGTCCTTTTCAGGGAGGACTCCCACCTGGCTGACCTCTCACCTCCTGGCCACATCTGCTCACCCTGAGGAGGAGGTGCAGGCATGGTCATCCAGAGCCCACAGTGTGGCATGAGATGGGAGGTGGACATGACCACCAAACACCATGAGCACCCACAGCTTCAACAACCCCTGCAAGCTCCTCTTCCCTAGCAACAAACCTTTTCTAGGAAATGTTTCCAATCAGAGCAGCCACAGCAGGAAATAAAACAAGTCCAGCACAACCAAAGTAGCTCCCTCATATCCTGGGGCTGCTGCATCTTCCCCTCCCCTGCACCCCCTTTGCTAACACTGCCCCTGAGCAGAGCTCACCCCATGGCTCTCTGCTGACCTAGACCAGATTATTATACGATTGCACACACATATAGGTAAAACTATCATGTCCCTGTGGCTTTTTCCAGGACCTTCTGGCCCTGTTGTCCCCGTCCCGGGCCAGGGGGCCTGCGCCGAGTGAAAACGCTGGCTTGCAGCTCAGCAGAAGCTGCTCTTTACTCAAATTCTCCCACAGCCAGATCCAGGCATCCCTGGGAAGGGGAAAGGCAGGGTGGTAGGGGCAGGGACTCCAGGGGGTCTCTTTCTTCACCTCCTGTAGAAGCCCCGGGGGTCCTTGCAGATGCCGAAGTTGGTGTTGGTAATGGAGCCCACGATGGTCTTATCAGCATCACAGGTCAAGCCACTCTCGCAGGGACACTTGTAATAGACCTCATAGATGTTCTGCAGGGAACCAAGACACGATGCAGTGTGGGAGACATGCCCCCATCCCCAGCCACCCCTGGGAGCAGGAAAGTACGTACCCTTGGGGTGCATTCCTGGAACTCGGCTGCCTTTGGTGCACATCGAGCCAGGTTGAGGCCACTGACCCGGTGGCAGCAGCCGCTCTTGCACTGGACACTCTGCAGGCACAGCTCCCCAATCTCCTGTATGACAAGGCAAGGCTTGAGCACCAGGTACCTCTCTGTCCCCCTTTGATCCCTCCCTAGCTGTGGGCCCAGGGGGTTTGGGTGGGTGTTGAACACCAGCTCTGCCTTTCAGCTCAGGGGCAGCACCACTGCCAGCATCCCTGAGTCTCCCAATCTGCAGCATTTCCTCAGTCTGGCCCAAAATGCCACCCACAGAGGTGCTGTTTTTGTGGGGCTCATGGGAGCAGGGCTGAGACACCACAGGAAAGTGTCTCCCCTCCCCAGTCCCTGAGAGCCGCCCAGGGTGGGGGTTCTGTCTGGCTCAGGCAGCTGAGAGCTTCAGTTTCATCTGCTCTATGACTTCCCTTTTCCTTTACACAGCTGCTTTTCCAGGCTCCAAGATCTCTCACAACTCTGGAAAACCCAGCACATCATCCCCACCCTCCTCAGTTTTCCCAGACATGATAAGGTTTGCTCTTGGTGTCTGCATCCATCATCCTGGGGGTCCCTCACATAACTGCTGCCAGAGGCCAAAGCACCTCAGACACCTCCAACCCTCCATGCACTGTGTGCCCCATTGCAGCACTGAAGCAACCCCCATTGTGCCAAGATCATGGTTAGTCTCCTCTTACCAAGTTGAAGATGAGCCCTCGTTCCTGCTGTGCTGACAGGGCTGGGGCCAGGAGCATCAGGGCCAGGAGCAGGCAGGCAGGCACCACGTTGGCCATGGTGGGCTCCCTTGTGCCTCCACCATGGGGCCAGCAGGCACTTTATAGCCGGCGTCTCCATCAGCTGACGTGGCCGCTCCTATCACATCTCAACTCGTGGCATTAGGGCAGTGCTGCACCGCCCAGGGCAGGGAAACAGTGATGCCTGTGCTACCAATGCTACCAGCTCCCATTCCCAGGTGACTGTCCCTTGCTGGCGATGTCAACCTGCCCTTTGGCAGCTCCTTTGGCCAAAATGAATGCAAAGTAACGGCACTCCTATGCTTCCAGTCCTCCCTCCTCTCCCTCACCTTGGCAACAGCGAGCTGTGGAGCTGAGGTTCTCTGAAATGCCCTCCTTGCTGGGCTCTGCTGGGGGTTTCCCAGGCAAAGTGAGGGCTGGTGCCATGATAGGAGCTCTGTTCCACGAGAAAGTGCCCGTCACCAGATCCTCCATCACTCAAATGGTATGATCACAGATGCCAAGAAACCCAAGCATACAAGAGAGAGCTCAGCCCCCTGCAAGCATCCTGCTGGCCTTTCTCAGTGCTCCAGAGCTCACCAAGGTCCCCTGCCCACGGGCCAGAACCTCACCTTGCCCTGCCAAATATTTGCTCTATGTTTAAGTGCTTGGGGGCTGCAGCTGATGAAAGGAAAACAGCCCTGGGAACAGCACAGCTTTTCATGCTTGGCTGTTCTCAGCAATGATTAATGGCCAGGCAGCCCTGACCTTTGACAGCTGCAGGGGTGATGCCGAGGATGACGCTGGCTATGGCTGTCACGCTGGCGTGTGGCATCCAGTCCTCACGACAGGAGCTGAACCTGTGTGGTCTCTCGGGATGTGAGGCAGATGTGGCTCCTGGAGAGAGGTCTCAAGGTGGCTGCAAGTGCCTGCAACCTGGCAGGGCAGGCTCTAGGGCTGCCCATGCTCCTCTGGCATGGGGACATGGGAACATGGGGATGGGGCAGAGACCCGGCCCTACCACAGGTGCTGGCTGACACTCTGGTGTGTCCTTGTAGCGGGATGAGCCATTTCCCTTTCTGCAGTGAAACTGTGGGGATGGTTCCCTGCCTGCTTGCAGCCCCAGTCAGCCCTGGAGCTGATGGTGATATCTGAGTTTTGAGATGCAACAAGAACTAACAACTTTTACAGAGGAATGTACCGTAGAAACTACATATAGCTGAGCCAAGTGATTTAAGGGGGCTAACCAAGCAAAGTAAAAAAACAATGAAGAAGGGAACTGAGGCAGCCAGCCAAGCAACACCCAGTTTCTCTATAACCAGGTGTATTGTCTTGAAGTTCATAAGGCAGTTACTTAGAACTTTGGGGGTTCCAGACATGGACAACCAACAGAGATCACTGATGAAGCCCCTCAAAGACCTTATAAGGATATGTATGCATGCTAAAAAGTGTTGAGAGATGTCATAAATATGCAACAAGAATGCAGGGAACGAAAAATGAATAATCATGTAACACTGACATATAAGCTGTAGTGAAGACGATACCTCTGTGTGCACTTCGGTGAACTGATTCCTGGGGCAGTGCTGTGATTATACAGCGCATCATAATAAAGAATGCCTGGCTTCTAAAACTCACAAATTGACTCTTAAAGGTTTCTTTAAGAGCCAATTTTAGGCTACAATGGGGGGGTCAAAGGGCCTGCATTCCACCACCCATACGATGCAGCACCCTATGTTCTCCCCATCTGTGGGGGAAGACCCTCGTGACATGGGCTGGGAGGCCGGAAAGGAGCAGCCAAGGAGGCACAGCATTTGGGACATATTCTAGAGCACACAGCAGAGCCTGGTGGATCCCAAGGCTAATGGCACAGCCCTTGGCACATTCTGGGGCACATACTGGGAGGCAAGACACATCCCAGGGTGCATCCCAACATGCATCCTGGGGCATGTGGCACATCCTGGGACACATCCAGGGGTACACAGTGCGGCCTAGCACATCCTGCCACACATCCTGGGTGTGCATGGCACATTGCAGGGCACACAGCACGTTTCTGGGGCAAGGCGGGGGATAGAGTGCACCCCTGAGTGCACAGCAGGGCACAGGGTGCACCTCTGGTGCTCAGCCCAGGGTGCCTCGCAGGGCAGATCCTAGGGTGCACATTGGGGATATCTGGCTTATCCTAAGGTGCATGCTAGGGCATACGGTGGAGGCAAAGGGCAAATCCCGAGAGAGCATTCCAGGGACACAGGGCACACCCTCGGGGCACATTCCGGGGGCCCATCCCAGGAGCGCATCCCGCGACCGCACCTCGAGCCGCGCCGCCTGCCTCCTGCCGCGCCCTCCCCGGCTCAGGGGGCGGGGGTCGTGCCGGCTCCTCCCGGGTCCTCCCCGGCTCGTTGGGGGTGTGGGGGAGGTCTCACCGCCACCGCCCCCCGGGGCGGTCCAGCCGCTGCCGCTGCCGCTGCCGGGCGGGCGGGGCCGCGCCGGGCGCCCCGGGAGCGGGGCCGGGACGGGAGCCCCACCATGTCCAAGCTGCTGCCGGCTCAGGAGGCAGCCCGGATCTACCATACCAACTACGTGAGGAATTCGCGGGCCATGGGAGTGCTCTGGGCCCTCTTCACCCTCTGCTTCTCCATCCTGATGGTGGTGACCTTCATCCAGCCGTACTGGATCGGCGACAGCATCGACACGCCGCAGGCCGGCTACTTCGGCCTCTTCTCCTACTGCATCGGCAACGCGCTCACCGGGGAGCTCATCTGCAAGGGCAGCCCCCTCGACTTCGGCACCATCCCTTCCAGTGCCTTCAAAACTGCCATGTTCTTCGTAGGCATATCCACCTTCCTTATAATTGGCTCCATCCTCTGCTTCAGTCTCTTCTTCTTCTGTAACGCAGCCACCGTCTATAAAGTGTGTGCCTGGATGCAGCTGGCAGCAGGTGAGCAGGGCTGGGGCGATGCACGGGAGGGGCCGGGAGCTGCCCATGATCCGACTAGAGCCGCTTTTCCCTTTTTGCCCCCACCTCGACCCTGCTGGGAGCGGGGCTGGCCTGTAAAGAGACACCTGTGTCACCTTCATGCCATTTGCTCTCCCTTACTGGTTACCAGTGTGGAGTTTGTAGTAAGTAAAGCCTGTCAGAGCAGCTGAGACACAGTAGACTCACTGCATGTTGGGCGATGCGTCCCCTGGGTGCTGCTGCTGCAGCAAAACCGCGTGGCACCTTCGGCCCGGCCCCGGCTTGGCTCCACTTACCTGGAGGAGCTTCCCTCCAGCCAGCGCTCCTGCTCAGCCCCACCGTGCAGCGAGCTTGCGGCTTTGGAGTATCAGTTTGAGAGCACAAAAACCCCCCAGGGCTGGGGCATGGAGCTCCCTGCTGCGTTTGGAATCCTGAAGGAATTAAGCAGGGAGATAGTGATAACATTTGCTGGGCTATTTTAATAACTCCGTGAGCTCAGGGAATAATGTACTAGGAAGATGGAAGAGGAGGAGGAGACTGACTGTATGACTTGGTACCATCACTCACATTTTCCTACTTTTCTGCTCACCCCTGTGGATCTCCAGCCTTCCCCACCTCTCTCCCAGTGCACTTGAGACACCTGGTAACCCAGCTCCTGTTTTTGATCAAAGCCTCAGCTGAAACCCAACCCAGCCCTTTGCTGCTCCTGAATCATTCATGCCACAGCTCCCACGGAAGGGACAGCCCAGCTGACACCCTGTGAGACGTCCATCAGGGTTTCTCCAGCTCCCAGCTAAAGAAGTGAGCTCAAGCAAAGATTTAGATAAGAGGCTTGGGGCAGCTCAGCATCCTGGGGAGCTGAACTGGAGCAGGGAAAGGCTTTGCTGTGGTATTTGGGGCTTTTACCTGTATTTTTTTTGTTCTGGATGGGGGAAGAGAAACATGTCACAGGCAGATCTGGTCAGGTGCTGCTGCATTTTAGGAATTACTTTACAAAGGGGGCGGGCTTAGAGAGGATTCACTTCCTGGCCTTTGCTGTGCACCAGGGCGCATTTTCACAGAAATTATTTCATTCCAGCTTTCCCATTTCTCTGTGCCTCTCCTCTCAGTTAGTTACAGGGAAGATTAATTACAGAATAAACCAGCTGCTTTTCAGTGAAATCTTCCCTGCAGACCAAGGAAGTGCCTGCTCACCTTGCTGCTCCCTTGTCCCCAAGCCAAGGAAAAAGAAAACATCAGCAAAGGACAAAGCAAGTGCCTCAAAAGTGTTTTCTGGTTTACTGAGCACCCAGTGACAGAGAAGAGACACTGGTGTGGGGCAAGGTGCATCTCACTGCTGCAGGAGGCTGCAGATGTCCAAGAGGGGCACGGACAAACATCTGCTTGTCCAGAGGTCCCACCATGGGGTTGTTTCTTGTGTGAGAGGAGTCGGGAACAGCCCTGCATCTGCACCAAAACACATAAAACACGAATTACTTCTGTGCTCTGCACCAAGATAACAGTGGAGGATGTGAAAGGCCTCTGTTAATCATGTCCCAAAGCCTTATAGATGAACTCATCTCTTATCCCAAGCCCGGTCACTTTTCTTGTCCAGTAAATACAACAGTTTTCTGGCATGTTGGGAGGGGAAAAAAAGTACTTCCAAGGTTTTGGGACAGGAGCTTCAACAGCCTGCCAGCACTAAGGTTGTTGCAACTCTTGTGGCAAAGCTGCAAAGGTGACATGCTGAGGGCCCTGGGGCCAGGCTGGATCAGCTGTTGAGGTCATGGGTGCACTGAGAACAGTCACAGGAGGAGTTGATGTGTTGGGGCTGGGCTGGAACCACCACAGCTGAACAAGCAGAATTAATCTGCCTGCAAAGGTGCTGCTGACACCAGCTCTAACTTAGCAAACCCTAAGCTGAAATCAGCTACTTGCAGGGTGCTAGGAAGGTTCTCCATCTTGCACAGACTAAACCCATTCCAGTTTTGTTTGGAGAAAACATTCCTTTGAAGTGACATGGCCAAGGATGCATGCAGAGGCAGGAGAGATGTTGTCTGGGCAACAGAGTGATGGGAGATGCTGGTGCAGCATGTCCTTGACTTGTGGGAAGGCAGCATACTGTATCCTGCTCCTCCCCAGCTGTGGAACAGAGCAGAACCCACAGTGATGGGCAACCACAGGGCCCCTGTAAGCCTGGCAAGCCAGTCTCTAGTGCCTTATCTGTTTGTAGCGCTGCGTTTGCAGCCGTGCTCCTCCACCTCCCAGTATCAGCTCAGGACGCAACTTGTGGCCGCTGTAATGTCCCCCAATGGCAACGTGTGTCCCTCTCCCTGCAGCTACTGGACTGATGATTGGCTGCCTGATCTACCCCGACGGCTGGGACTCGAGCGAGGTGAAGCGCCTGTGTGGGGACAAGACAGACAAATACACACTGGGTGCCTGCACCGTGCGCTGGGCCTACATCCTCTGCATCATTGGCATCCTCGACGCTCTCATACTGTCCTTCCTGGCCTTTGTGCTGGGGAACCGGCAGGACAACCTCCTCCCATCCGATTTCAAAGTGGAAAATAAAGGTAAAGACAGCTAGGGCTGAGCTCTGGGGTCCTGTCCTGCTGCAGTGTTTCAACCACTCAGCTCATTGCTGTTATTTGGGAGGATGCTGGCTTCCTTCCTGGCATAGTCATCACACTGCTTCATAGGGATGGAGAGCCAGCAGCAGGCAGAAGACTGATGGAGAACAAGGCAGGAGCCCAAATGGACCCATACTAACTTTCACAGGCATGAGGGTTTCTCCTCATCCTGTTTTAAACTGTTTTCTCCCTTTTTGAAAACAAACCAGTACTTTCGAGTTTTATACCACACCCCATTAACACTGTAACTATCTTTTTGTTTTACAGAAGAGGGAAATGACTGACAGAGCTCATTACCATGTAAGTGATACCCACAGACTTTTAATGTTTCTTCCCAGCATACATAATGTTGCTGTTGTATTCTGATTACTAGACGATTGACAACTGGTTTTGGTACTATAGTTACATTAGTTTTATTTGTGGTTAGAGAGGAAATAGTCTTTGCTTTGCATCCCAGAACTGGGAAAACATAAACCCTTGCCAAATGATGAAATAACACAAGCTTAAAATTTGAAGTCATACTCCATTTGGCAACTGCTGACTTATTCTTTTTGTTCCCAGGGAGACCCAGAGCTCTTCTTTCATCAGCTCTTTTCTTTAAAGTGACTTTTCTAGGAGATTTAAACTTCTGTGGATTTTCTACAACTGTTTTCTTCACCCATGGGGCTGCTCTTGGCTCACAGCACTCATGGAGTTTATTTGATGGGAAGAGCCCAAACTGGACATGGGGTTTTTCTGAGTCCATCAATAAGATGGGTCCTGGGCAAGAGGGGAATGACAGTGATTTGCTGCTTTTTTTGTGGGGTTTGTACACCTTCTTTCAAGAAAATTACTTATGAATAAAAAGTAAAATAAAAATCAGTGTTTTGGATTTTGTGCTAGTCTGCTCAGGGCAGAGGACACCCTCTGTCATGTCCCAGATTGCCCTTTTACTTGAAAAATATGATGAGGGCCAATTCCTACCTGAGTGGTGAATCAGTTTCCCACTCTATGCAATAATAACCAAAGGAGCAGTTTCCTGGGAAAAAAAAACCCAAACAACAAAACCAAAACCCAATCTGCTGGGCTGTAGCAGGCCTGTAACACCACCTGCAAACCACAGCAGATGGTGCCAGTCACTGCACCTCCCCATTAACTTGATTTAGCCATCATCTCTCATCCCATCCAACACCCGCCCACGGCAGCCTGTGGCACCGTCCATTTCTGCAGAAGATAAAGCAGAACATTATCCTGTCCAGCTCTTACCTTGTCAGAACCCAAAATTAGCCTGCATTATTTTGATTTCTACTTGCTGTAAAATTTGTTGGTTCCTATAGCAGTCAATTCAATTCAGTTCCAACGAGTACTTTCCAATTTTATGTTTCCTTTTACAAAAGCATCTGGGAAGGTTTTGTTAATATTCTTGGCTAGGGAAGACAGCAGAGATACGACAAACTTACAGAAAAATGTATTTTAGAATGGAAAAATTCCAGCAGAGTTGTCCTGCTATTTATTACTCTTCCCCCCTTTTTGAAAGGGATCACAATACCAGCAACAAAATCCTCACCTACACGATCTCCCTCTGTCTCATTCTGGAAATCACTCACTACTGAAGCAAATTTCATCCACGGGCCACTGACTCAGAAAGAACACTTACAGAGGGAATGTATGAAGACTAGGGTTCAGTTATTAAATAATCTCTTTATTGTAGGGCTTTCACAAAGAAAAAATAGACAAAGCACCCAAGTAGAAAGAATAAAAATGTATTTTCCTTCAGGTTTTAGACTGACACAGCAAGTACAAATCCTTTAGTGTGAGCACATTACAGCAACTTGGAAATTTAACAAACCCCAAGTGAATAAGCAGACAGTACAAGACTGAATTGTGACAGTTGCTTCTGCAGGTCTTTAACTCCCAAGCTGGCTCTAGGCTTAGCTATCTGGGTAAAAAACCTCCTCCTCCAGTCAGGGGTGGCAGATGAAAGGGAAGAAAGGATGGGCAGGAGCTCTTAAGAGTCAAAGCTTGCAGACCCCTTCTAGGAAATGTTCCTTCATCAGCCAGTCTCAAGTACGCAGGACTGGGCAAGCTTTCAAGAGCACAGGAATTGTTTGCCTGCCAATGTATCTTCACAGTAAGTTGGAACCCAGTACTGTCTGCAGTCCTGTAACAGATACAGAAGAGACCTAGAACTGGAAAACTCCAGATGAATGGGGGGAAAAACCTGTCAAATCAGCCGTTTGAAACATTTTTGGTATGTTACCTGCCTTTCATTTTATATTATATGCATAGAGAATCTGATCTACCACTAAAGGAACATGCAGCATGATTTGCATAAATAAGCCCCATCAGGCTCTGAACCAGAGAAACTCTTTTCCAGTGGATTAAATGATCCGGTTTATGAATGAAGGATCCTTATAATCCAAAATTTCCCAGCATACACATAGAAGTGACACGTAACAGTGATCTTGGCAGCTTTGGCAATGTAATTGTCTTGGATAGCATCTGCATGGCCTCCAGCAACTTCTATCCTCTGAAAGCCACCACAAATCCAAAGGCTTGTTTGGTCCAGAGTAAGGAAGTGCCTCTGAAGTCTCAACGCTGCCAAATCTTGCTTAGAGAAGAGTGGGATGCACCGAATCTGTAACAGGATGGGCAACTCTAGAAGAAGACATCATAAAACTAGCAAATGCCACAGTGATTTAACTTTTAATTAAAATTAACCCATTTAACTCATTATATCCAAACCCCCTCTGAGAAGTTTACATAGAAGCCCCATAGAACACTTTTTACTTGGGGTAACTCTAGAAACAGCTTCTAACCCAGTATCTACATGGAAAAGTCAATTCTCTTCCACTTCTGCTAGCTCTTCCTGTGCTAATGGCCCAGAAAATAAAAGGCAGTCCCATCCTGGGAAGTTATTTCTGAAGGCCTGCACCTGAAGCAAGTTAAGAGAAAAGAAATCTTTACAGAGATTTCAAGTTTTAATTTTGAAAGTCCAGGGCTATGGGCATGGCTGTGATACAGGCGCTGCAACCCTTTCCTTGCGAAAAAGTGAATGGTCAAAAATTAAAAGTCAGAGTAAACTGCATCTGTGAAAGGCAGTCTCTCACAAGTACAGCAACCACCTCAAGCAAGACAAAAAAGTGCCAGTTAGGGATAAAAAAATCCCAAAACCTTACGTCTTGCTATTATGTTAAGAGTTGCCTGCAACAAGGGTCTCACTTTGCAGACCAAGGGGTGAACCCATCTGTGTGCTGAAGATTGTGCGTTCAGTCAGTTCCAGCTTTTGCTTATTTTGCTTGCCTTTTAGTCACAGGCATTGAAGTAGAAAACATTACCAAGTTCAGAAACTATTCTACCAAAGGTATGGGGAAGGAAAAGGTTAACGGACAGGACACTTTGGAGGAAGAAATAAAGGATACTAAAACCTAGGTTTAAAAAGCTTTTTCAAAAGCAGCTAGAACTAAATAAAAGTTTGTGACTGGAAAGAATACAGTAGATACCTAGAAAGTGATGGAGGATTTCAAGGTCTTTGCTCTACAGGGATGTGGCACCACCTTGATGCCAACTGTTACTTCTCACCCCGTCACTAGCTATTGGATCAGGGAAATTTTACTCCTGAGTCAGTGAGATCTTTGCATGGCCCTCATGAAGAAAGGAGAGTTGAAATCTAGCTAAGGGAGCACATCTGAGCACGGGTGAGCTCACATCTGTAACACGTGGTGCCTAACAGTGAGGAGACTGAGGGAAGATTTCATATTCTAGTCAATTAGTTTTTGGTGAAGCCCAATCAAGGCGAAACACAGATGATGCCCACTGGCTGAGGAAAGTCCCCATTAAGTCACACAAACAAATTCAGCAGAACAGGTTAGATTTATCTAAAATCTTGGAAGCCTTGAAGGAAGAACTTCACACTGAAAGTGAACAAGGAGAACAATGGATCTGGGAAGGGGCAGCTGGGTGTGTGTAGGCTATGCTGTAAACCAGAGTGTAACGCTGTGGCACTGCACTGAAGCTTCTATGAATTAAGCCAAGGGTGCCTGAGACACTCTGCTGCTGTAGCTCGTTTCTCTGGGATCAGCTCCAACATAGGTAGTAAGAAGTCTGTGAATGCAGCTGCCTCATCTTGGGACCACTCGTATTTTTCCACCAACACTTCAAAAAGGCCCCAGGGCTTCAGTTTGGTGATGTGCTTCAGATCACCTGAAAACCCAAGACAGACAGGTTAAGTCTGGCAAGACATGGGAACAGAGCAGCTCAATAAAATAGGCTGAACAGCTAATCATGACAGATTGAATTCAGAAACTGTTCTAATAGTTGGGCATAGGGAATATAACGTGGTAGGGCATGCTGAAGGGAGAAGTAAATTACATTAAACCCCCTTTTCTACTGCTCTGTAAGCATATTACAGAAATGTACTTCCTTGAAAGGTTCTTTTTTCACCTCCTGCTATTTCAGATCCAATATAAGCAAATATTACCTTCATTAAATCACCAGCTATACTGCTTTGACATGACAGATAAACACTATGCCATTCACTTTGGAATACATGCAAAGTATACTGCACTGTTTGAGAAAGCAATGTGCTACTAAGAAAAAAGGGTTTGTTTTTATTAAAAAAAAAAGTATTAAATTAGGTCAAAACCTACTTTTTCGACTCAATACATTTCTGGGGTACTTAGGGCTTTATGATAATGTTATGTGCTCTGAGCAATATGGCTTATGATGCAAGGCACTATTTAAGGTGACTGGCATGCTAGAAATGGAGTAAAGCTGTCTAGAGAAGACTTCAAAAGTGAGTCACCACCTCTAGTTGACAAAGATCAGCTAAATAAAGCTACATCAAGTTTGACTAAACATCTAATGTACTGTTTTTCTACCTGCTACATTTGATCTACACCAAGCTGTCAAGTACTAGGATGTAGGATACTTTTAGCAGTAAACCAAGAATGTCTTAGATTTAGCTGCAGTTTTACTGATGAAGCTTTTCATAAAACAAAAGAAAGACTTAAAGAGGCATCTTTGCTGGCAGTTCCAGCAAGACATTACTGTGTATTTGGGGTAGAAGATGAGGGGATAAGTGATATTTCCTTTGTTTCCTTTTACCTTTTTTGGTGAAAAACTCCTTGGAATATTTTCCTGCCAAAATGAGCTTGCGAGGTATTTTCCCCAGAAGTTCTATGATCAATGCAATGTGATCTGCATGTTAAAAAAAAAACCCACCAAAAATACATAAGACATCTTTATGCTGCTGTTTCCTGTTCTGGGCTATAAGAAAGACATTATCTGCCTTAAAAATTACTTTGATATCAACCTGAAATCAAGATTACACTAAGCAACAACAAAGCCAGGGGGCAAGGGGGAAAAAAAATAAAGGCAATTTGAAGCCCTGATCAGTTTAAGATGCTAGGTAGAGAATCCAGGAGCAAGAGGAATGTGAAACACCAGAACAAGAATATAGACTTGTTGCACGGTGTTTTACTGCAGAGGCTTTAGCACAGTTGCTGCGGATTTGGGTAAATAATGTTTTTGCAAGGAGCCTTTGCATTGCTCACTCAAAAGAGAAGGCTCATTCTGAAGAGGTAACCATTGAATTTCATGTCTCATTTTAAAAAGGGAAGACTTAGGCAAACAGACCTTCATCTCGTGAGTAATCTTCTCCAGAGTGAGGCTCAAACAGGTAGTCTCCTGTTGCTAACTCAAAGGCCTAAACAAACAGAAATGAGCACATTAAATCACTTCAAAACACTGTGCAAACCTCTGTGGGACATAAGCAAAGCGGTGGGAAAAAATAAGATTATAGCTGTGTACGAGATTTTTGCAGGTTAAGTACACCATTACAGCCTAAGATGTGCAATGACTTTGCACCATTCTAACAA